ACACCTCCCTAACGTCGATCACGTCACCTTCGTGAGTCAGCCACATAAAAGGTTCCAACACCGTCCAACCAACACGCTCAAGAGACAGCCGAACAGCCCCACAAGGACCTTGAACCTGCGTCCAGTGCTTGATCCCTTGGCAGCCCGACATGGAGGTCTCCAGGACGCGCACAGGAACCCAGGACTCCCAGATGGTCCGCACGAAGGCTACAATCGGCAACAACGCAGCCCTGTATAGCGGACCAATCTTGCCATGGCACATGAAAGTGCAAGTCCTACTCCTGCCTGACGTTCGCGGTTCGATGGCGGAAAATGCCAGAACACGAGCAGACTCGAGTTCACCAGCACTGCAGCCCGTGACCGACATGCCATACGAATAACTCGCCTCAATGCCAGCACGAGCAATACGCGCTGCCACCAGACGTTTCTTGGTGCCCGTCCAGAACTTCTTCACCCGCCTGGCCTTCAACCGAGCTTGAGCCACCTTGGAGCTGCGGACATTGCGATGAATACGCCGTTCTGCCGTACAGTCAACTCCCAAATTCCTCTCATGCCGCACTGCAATAGCACCGGTGGTAAGCGACAGCTGACCAGCGACCAAGCCACGAGCCATGGCATCATTGGACAGGACTCGTGTTTTGTCGGAATGCACATGCAAGTCATATTCAGCAAGGATGCGCTGCAAATCCTTCGTGGCCTGAACAATCCCACGACACGCACGATCACGCCCACCCACGCGTCGCAGTAACAGATCATCGACCACAACCACTGGCATGACCGTGCGATGCAGTGCATGCACCTCGCCCAGGGGAAGGATGAGCGCTAACTTGAGCATCGTTGTCGCCCAGCCGCCCCCTGGAAGAACCGCTTGCTCAGCGACGATCCCCTCAGACACCACAGCCCCCAGGGCGAGGAACCTCTGCATGCGATAAAATTCCACTTGAAGCCCCAGCTGCCACAGAGGGAACCCAGTAGCCACAGCAGCTTGCAGGAGCCCATGATGCTGGACCTGCTCGAAGGCCTTCAGGAGATCCAGTAGAACCTAGGCCGAACACCAGAGCCCCGAACAAGACCTAACTTCCCGAGACCTGCGCGCGGCCCATTCGGACCAGGCCGTTTGTTGCCACACCGCACGTTCACAAGATCTCCCAGCTCGCGCCGAGACAACGCCAAGACAACGCCAAAGGGCGCCGTCAGCGAGCCTGTATTGTTGCTAAGACATGAATCAGAGCAACCGGACGAACTCCTCCAAGCCTCTTCTGAAGGAAGGCAATTTTGGCGCGGAACTTGGGCCACTGCGCAGAAGCCTCAATCGCCATGAGAAGATCAATAAGACACTCCAACGCCAGATCATCCAGCTCCAAAACCTGTCTCGGGCGCATGGAGTCAAACCCAAATCCGGACGTCTTCTTGAATGTCCGAAGAACCTTACGCAACAACTCGACGCTCGGCCTCGGCGGCCATGCACCCAGCTCATCGGACCAACTGACGTGCTGATGCCATTGCCCAACCTTCCACCAGCGGGACCACTCCCCTTGCAACAAGCACATCCCGCTCTGCTTGCGAACAGGAAGGTGCGCCCGTTCACGATCGGGAGCACACGGCGCCCAAGGCACTTTCTCACGCGTGATGGCGAAGAGACCTCCAGCACCTGATCCCGCTTGAGCAGCGACCCATTTCCGAAACTCGCCGACGCGGTGTTTCATATCATACTCTGCCAGCTGCGCCGCACAGTGCTTGACCGCACTAGCCAGAATCTGCAAAGCCCATGTCTCCAACTCGCCCCAAAAAAACAGGGAGAGCATGCACCACCGACGCCCAACGTCGCCGTCGGGTACTGAAGTAACTGCAGCAGGCGCCTTGCGGAGTAGCTTGTGCGCCGATGCAAGCGCACGCATACGAGTGAGAGGTCGCTGCCAACATCCAGCAAAGCTAAGAGCGGGCCCAATACTTCGAAGCCAAAGCACTGCAGGCGACACACGGGGGAACTTGGGAGGCAACTTGGGCAGCGCATCCACCCATTTCGGCTCCACCTTGCGATCGCACCCACACATTTTTGGAACCATATCGGGCGGCACCTGATATACATCTACCCATTGTCGTTCAGCAGCTGACACGAAGGCCCCCCATCCCTTCGACAAGAGCTCCTGCTATGCCTGACCCGTCGGCATGAGCTGTCGAACTGTGGCCCACATGTTCTCAGTATACAAGCGCGGGCATCCAGTAGGCCGCCCTTCTGGAAACAGTCGAGGGACAGGCATGACTCGCATCTTGGGCCTACCAACGGGAGCAGCGACCTGCAAGCAGACCGCCGAATGAGGGCTGAGTGGCATCTCGGAATGCACCTGGGCACCCAGCGCCTCAAGCCCATCTGAGACCAGAAAGGAAGCAATCTTTCGACCCGCGGGGGCATATGTCCCGACACCAGGAGCAACAATGATCGCCTCGAACCAATCCATCACCCCCGCGGCCCGCAAGTCGCCGGGCTCATTGTTGAAATCCCCCGCGATCACATAGGGCCGAACAATCATACGCACTCGCTCTGCCACCAAGAACAGGATCTCCAGATTGGCAGCTGCCATGCCAATCTTGTCGCACAGGTAAACGCTCACGAGGACAACCCCCGCCTTCGAGAAACCTGAGTGCAAGCAGCAAGCCGCACGCCCAGGTACGATGACACCGTCAACCCCTTCGATCACTCCAAGCCCATGATGCTGCGCACAACTACAGAGCAGACCACCACTTCCTGAACCTCGACGCCCATCGATGCACTCCACTGCTGGAGAAAATAGACAGTTCCAACCCAACATGCGTAATCTGCGCGACTCTTCCTCACATTCACGCACAATCAGATGCGTTTCTTGAACCATGGTGGCGCCAGCCTGCTCGAATAGCAGCCTCCTCGCGTCAACACCCTCGGTCGGCAACAGGTCTGCAAACGTGGAGAAGATATTCACGTTCATGATGAGCAACCCCCAGATCCTCGGGTCAGAAATGAGACCTCCCGTCAACAAGTGCACCTGCAGAGCGCAATGTCTTGTTAGCCTCTTCCTGCAGCTCCTGAATGAGACGCTTCTTGTCGGCATCCGAGATCGGGCAATCAGGCGACAGACTCACCATGTTGTCCCACTCGGCGTCGGACAGTCCGCGGATCTGCACATCGTCGGGCACTGGGAGACATCCCCCTCTAAGATCAACGACGCTCGCCACGCCGCCTCCAGAGGCCGCAGCACTCTCAACAACTCCCCCGCCTCCTGCCGCCACTCCAGTTGCAGCCGCAGAAGCCCCAGCCGCCGCCGCACCGCCAGCACCATCAAGATGGGCCGTGAGCGCCTGCAGCAGCGCGGTGAGCGGCTCCGCCAGGGCCGCGCCGACCTGCTGCTGCCAGCCTGGGTGACCGTTGAGGACCTTCGCCACGTGCGAGGCCGCCGACGCCGCCGACTCAGCGGCCGCTGGCGGGGCAGGGGGAACTCGAGCCGTTTTGGCCTTGGCTCCCTCCACCATCTGCTTAAGCTCCTGCTCCAACTTGCCCACCAGGGCCCTGGATGATGCATATTGCTCGGTGGCCTTCTGAATGGCCACCTTAGCCGTGTCAAAGGAAGAACGGGCACGCTGCAGTTCAATGGCCTTGCCGTCAATCGCCTGCTGCACGTCCTTGGCCTCTTTGACTGAGACCAGACCTTCAAACCCATTCTCACGCTTCCAACGCAAGTGCTTAAGCTTGTCACGGGCTGATTGAGAGAGAACAGCTACGGCCGCGTCGAACTGAGCAGCAGACATCTCCAACCAGACTTTAGCCTGCTCCACATCAATAGGCTGTTGATGCTGCTGCTGCTGCTGTCCACCGCCGCCTGAGCCCTTGCCCCACCCGTTGCTACCAGCCTTGCGCCGAGGGGGGCTCGAACACAGCAGGAGGAGGGAAAGCCCAAGCACCACGAGGACCGCGCCAGGGCGGAGGCGTAGGCACCAGGGACGCCCCTTTGGGCCCTTGCCCATTGCATCCCGCCTTGCGGCAACGCGATCGAAAGCCATAGTTGTGATAGCCGCACTTCCCGCAGTCCCAGCCAGGCATCGCGTAGCCGAGACCGAACCGACCTGACGGCGCGGCAGGCGCGCGCGGGTCAGGAGAGAAAACAGTGGGGGCCGTCCCTCCCCCTTGCCACTAAGGCCAAGTCATGAGCCGATGGCTACGGACTTGAGCCAAAATGGCTACGGACTCCTCCTCCTCCTCCCTCCTCCTCCTCCTCCTCCTCCTCCTCCTCCTCCTCCTCTCCTCCTCCCTCTCCTCCTCCTGCTCCTCCTCCTCCTCCTCCTCCTCCTCCTCCTCCTCATCCTTATCCTCCTCCTCCTCACGTACGCAGCGCGTGTTTGGCACGTGGGCCCCCAGAAGTCTGGCCCTGCTGCCAGCGACCGGCTAACCCCAAGCCGCATCCTAACGGCGCCGAGGGGGGGGGGGGGGGCGGCGGAGGCCCCCCTGGGCTCTCCCTATCCGCAGCCTGCCCAGCCTGCCAGGAGGAGGAGGAGGAGGAGGAGGAAGGAGGAGGAGGAGGAGGAGGGGGAGGAGGATTCGGAGGAAAGGAAGGAGTAGGATGAGGAGGAGGGGGAACGATGGGGGCGGGGACCTGCTTTCAGAGGGAGAAACATCGAGCTGGTGTCAATGATGCGTCACCGACCCCAGTGGCGAATCTGCACGCTCTTTGGCGGGGTGGGCCTATCGGGGCCCCACATCGACGACTATCCCGCCAAAGCGTTGGCCCTGACCTCTGCACTGACCGGAGGACCTGGAGCCTCCCCGGTGCCTTGATGGGCAGCGACTGGTCGCTCAGGGCCTTGTTGCTCTTCTGCACCCACCTGGCGGATCCCGAAGGGAGGCGAGAGGATCAGAAAGAGCAGAGGAGGAGAAGGAGGAGGAGGAGGAGCGAAGGAGAGGAGGAGGAGGAGGAAAGAGAGAGAGAGAGAGAGTGAGGGGCGGCAGAAGAGGAGGGCGGCAATAATAGGGGACAACAAGAAAAAAGGATGAGGGGGAGGAGGATGAGGAGGGGAATAATGAGGACGAAGCGGAGAACGAGGAGGAGGCGGACGACGACGACGATGGGATTAAGGCGACGATGAAACAAAGGAAACGAGCACAAAGAAGGAGGACGAGAACATGAGGAGGAGCGGACGAAGACGATAGAAGGAGGGCGACGACAAGGAGGAATGGAGGAGGAAGAGTTCGATCTTCGGGGGCCTCTGGCGGCCTCTGAAAAATTCGAGAGGCATCCAGGACGTCCCGAAAATGAGCGGCGATCGCTTCCATCGAACCCCCCTTGAATCAGGCCAAGATGGTCAAAGATGCCCACAAAAGGCCGAAGAAGCCCTTAACCGACTCCAAGATGACCTAAGAGGCGCCTGGACAACCCCAGGTGGCCCCCAGGAGTCCCCCAAGATGACTCCGCAGGCTTCTCGGGAGCCTTCAGAAGGAGCCCCCATAAGGAGCCTCGAAGGAGCCTCCATCCATATAAGCCTCCATAAAGAATCCCCATAAAGAGCCTATAAGGAACCCCTGGAGCCTCCGCAAACAAGGAGCTTCCATAAGGAGCCTCTAGGAATCTCGCAGGAACCTCTCAGGAGCCTCTCAGGAGCCCCCATAAGAAGCCTCCAAGAAGCCTACACAAGGCACCTCTGAGGAGCCTGCGTAAGGAACCTCTCGAAGCCTCCATAAGCAACCTCTAGGGAGCCTCCACGAAAAGCCTCTAGTAAGGAACCTCTGCGGAACCTCTAAGGAGCCTCTAAGGAGCGTCCATCAGAAACATGCTCTAAGGAACTTCTAAGGAGCCTCAAAAAGGAGCCTAGAAGGAGGCTAGAAGGAGCCTCTAAGAAACCTCTACGAAACTTCTTCTCAGGAGCCTCCATAAGGAGCCTCTAAGGAGCATCCAGAAGGACCCTTTCAAAACGTCGACAAAGCTGAAAAAACGGTCGTTATTGGTCCCGGTTGGTTGGGATTGGGACCGAAATTGTTGAAATTCGTTCCGATTGGTTGAACTTTTTCCAACTTTTCAGGTTCGAGCCCCCCCATCCCTCCAGAGCCTGCGCCAGCGCCAGCGGCGGCCCCCCTCCCCGCCCCCCTCCCCGCCCCCGGCTGGCGCCGGCGCCAGCGGCGGCTGTCGGCGGCGGCGGAGAGCATCGACGAGGACGATTCACAGGGGGGGAAAGGAGGTTCGAACCGACCTCCCCTTCCTCCAGGCCGGCGCCGCCATCGGCGCAGGCGACGACGACGAAGGCGCCGACGACGACGGCAGCGACGAAGACGGCGGCGACGACGATGCCGATGACGACGACGACGAGAACGACGACGACGACGACGACGACGGCGACAACGACGACGGCAACGACGGCGACGACGACGACAACGGCGACGGCGACGACCACGACGGTCACGACGACGACGACGACGACGACGACGGCGACGACGACGACGATGACAAGCATAACGACCACGACGGCGACGAGGACGACGAAGTCGAAAACGACGACGACGACGACGACGACGACGACGGGTGCGGCGGCGTCGACGACGACGACGACGACGACGGCGACGACGGCGACGACGACGACGACGGCGACGACGACGACAATGACAACGAGCACGACGACGACGACGGCGACGACGACGACAATGACAACGAGCACGACGACGACGACAACGACGACGCCCCTCACAACGACGACGTCGACGACGACGACCACGTCGACGACGACGGAACACAACGACGACGACGACGACGACGACGACGACGACGACGACGACGACTGCGGCGACGACGACGACGACGACAAGAACAACGACGTTGACGACGACGACGACAACGGCGGCGACAACGACGGCGACAACGACGACAACGACGACGAGCACGAGGACGACGACGACGACGATTGCGACGATGGCGACGACGACGGCGACGACCACGACAACGGCGACGACGGCGACGACAGCAACAGCGACGACGGCGACGACGGCGACGACGACTGCGATCACGGCGACGACGACAACGGCGACGACGACGACGACGACGACGAGAACGACGACGACGACGACGACGACGACGACCCCGACGACGACGTCGACGACGACGACCACGACCACGACGGAGACGACGGCGACAACGACGACGGCGGCGACGACGACGACGACCGACGAGGACGACGACGAGGAAGGCGACGTCGACGTCGACGACGACGACGACTACGACGACAACGACGACGACGACGGAGACGACGACGACGAAGACGACGAGCACGACGACGACGACAGCGACAACGACAACGAAGACGGCGACGACGAGCACGACGGCGACGACGACGACGGCGACGACGACGACGATGCCAACGACAGCGACCATGGCGAGCGACACCGACGACGACGACGATGGAGACGACGGCGACGACAGCGTCGACGACAACGACGACAACGACGGCGCCCGACGGCGACGTCGTGACCTTGAAGACGAAGAAGCGGCCGGCGACGACGACGACGACAAAGGCAACTACGGCGACGACAGCGACGACGACGAAGACGACGACGGCGGCGACGACGGCGACGGCGACGACGACCACGGCGGCGGCGACGGAGACGGTGTCGACGACGACGCCGACGACAACGACGACGGGGACGGCGACGGCGACGACGACGGCGACCACGACGGAAACGACGACGACGACGACGTCGACGACGGCAACGATGGCGACGCCGACATCGACGACGAAATGCATGACACCGATGACGACGACGATAACGACGACCACGACGACGAACGAGGACGACGGCGACGACGACGACGGCGATGACGACAAGGGCGACGACGGCGACGACGACGACGACGACGACGGCGACGACGGCGACGACGACGACGGCGACGACGGCGACGACGACGACGGCGACGACGCCGACGACGATGGCGCAATGATCACGACGAAAACGACAACGACGACAACGATGGCGACGACGACGACGGCAGCGACAACGACGACGACGACGACGACGACGACGCCGGCGACGACGACGACGACGACGACGGCGGCGACGACGTCGACGACGATGACGATGACGGCGTCAACGACGATGACGACGACAACGACAGCGACGACGGTAACGACGACGACGACGACGATGACGACGACGAGCAGAACGACGACGACGACAACGACGATGACGACGACGACGCCGACGGCGACGACGTCGACGGAAACCGCGGGAGGCACCCGACGCAACTCGAAGAATATCAATATTGGAGACACTCGACGCGGGAGGCAAGCGATTCAACGGGAATTTTCGGGCCCGTCAATAGTCCGACACTCAGGCCCGAGGACCGAGGACTTCAAGGGACCGTGTCGTCGTCGTCGTGATCATTCCGAGGGGTCGTCGTCGAGGGACCGTGTCGTGTCGTCGTCGTCGTCGTCGATCGAGGGGGGGGGGGGGGGGCGAGACGACCCTGAGCGACTTCCTGAGAAGGAGCGCCGCACGATCAGGCAACAGCGTTCAGGATCCACCAAGCAACAGTGCACCCGCGCCTGCGGGCCGAATGGGAAGGAGTCCTGAGGTGTGGGCGAGCCAGCAGGCGCCCTCCCCCTGTCTGTCCCAGTCCGTGTCTGCGGGACGAGCGAGAAGGAATCCCACTCGGGACGAGACAGCAAGCTCCCCCACGCGATGGGCTGCCGAAGACATGCAAAGCGTAACGAATCCGTAAGCTGCTCGACGCGCTGATGTCATATTCCCGCACCCAAAGGCTCAAACACATTCAATTGAATTCAGTCCTGATGAGCAGCTACGCGTAGCTGCTGCCGCTGCCGCTGCCGCTGCCGCTGCCGCCGAAACTGCTGCCGCTGCTACCGCAACATCCTCTCACCGATCGCGCGGGCAGCTGGCCTGGCGACGCGGTCCCTCAGGCCATTGAAAACGGCCGGGGCCTCCGGGGAGGTCACCTGGGCGAGAAGGGATCAGAAAGACACCTTCCTCCTCGTCCTCATCCTCCCGACCCTCTGACTCCTCCAGGTTCTCCAGCTTCTCGTCCTCCTCCTCAAAATCCTCCTCCTCCTCCTCCTGGCCCTCGTCCTCCTGCTCCTCCTCCTCCGCCTCCTCCTCCTCCCAGCTTCTCCTCCCTCCTCGTTAGGCTCGTGCTACGTACTCATAACCCCTACCCAACATCCCCCTACCTTGTCCTGCACCACCACTGCATCTGACTCGTACCCTCCACCTCCTACTCCTACTCAAGCTCCTCCTCCTCCTCCTCCACCCTTTCATCCTCCCCCTCCTCCTCCTCCTCCTCCTCTGAATCCTCCCCCTCCCCCCTCCTCCTCCTCCTCCTCCTTCTCCTCCTCCTCCTTTTCCTCCTCCTCCTTCATTCCCAACTGCTACGACCACAACTACCACTACAACTACTACATCTACAACGACTACTGCTACTGCTGCTCCTGCTACAGCTACGACTACTACTATTACTACTACTACTACTACTACTACTACTACTACTACTACTACTACTACTACTACTACTACTACTACTACTACTACTACTACTACTACTACTACTACTACTACTACTACTACTACTACTACTACTACTACTACTACTACTACTACTACTACTACTACTACTACTACTACTACTACTACTACTACTACTACTACTACTACTACTACTACTACTACTACTACTACTACTACTACTACTACTACTACTACTACTACTACTACTACTACTACTACTACTACTACTACTACTACTACTACTACTACTACTACTACTACTACTACTACTACTACTACTCCTACTACTACTACTACTACTACTACTACTACTACTACTACTACTACTACTACTACTACTACTACTGCTACCCCTACTACTACTACTATTACTCCTACTACTACTACTACTATTTCTATCAGTACTACTACTATTGCTACTACTAATACTATTACAATTACTACTACTATTACTACTACTACTACCACTACTAC